CAATGAAGATTACAGTTTTTGGTTACAAGAGATAATACATATATCTAAACATCGGTAAACGATCATCGCTGATCTTTCTTTCTAAACCCGCTCTCCAGACCGAGCAACATCGTCAATCAAACTATCTTTCTCACTGCAATACCGCTACCAAAAAGATAACCCAGAGAGCAACATAGAGATTTTCTCTCTCTAAAAGTGGAGTTAACCAACACAAAACTCATGAGAATACTGCCCCTCTCTCAGAGGTCATGTCTCATTATCTTAGAGACTCATATTGGAGATCCATTCCCATAACCCCCAAAGGGGTGACCCTCAAAGAATGGGTATTATGTCCTTCTTCACTCTCTTATAAAGATATCACTTTCTTGCTTCCCAAGAAAGTCAATTTTTTATTCTCATAAAACCCTAATCTTTAGAAGAAAATATGGGTATGGTGATTTAGCTATCACCAAACCCAATAATCTCCACCTTGATAACAAAATCACCAACCTTCATTGAATAGGTTTCGATTTCTTAATAATTGCCTCAATTGTAGAATTTTCACAAACACTTTGCGTTCATATTTCTCCATGTCAAACCATGGATATTTCTTGATTTCTTCTCACTTGCCTCCATTGTGGGATTTTTACAAACACTTTGCCTTCATATTTTTCCACCTCAAACCATGCATCCGTAAAACTTCGGCATTACTCTTTTTCTTAATATAAACCGTAGCCCCGTACACACCTTGTGCTCTGATACTAATTATAGAAATCTCGAGAACCCCTTAGCTTGCGGAACCGAGAATCCCAAATACCAGGATCCCACCCAAGATCGTGTACTCAATAGGCCAAATGCGAAGTAGGTGAATACAACTATAAATTGAGTGTGAAAAATAAATCAAAACATAAAAAACACACCACAACAACACATGTTTTATGTGGTTCACGCCGTAGGGCTACATCCACAACCTCGGCAACTACAAATGATTTTGGGTTACAATAGATAATACATATCTCTAAACATCGGTAAAAGACCATCACCGATATTCCCTTCTAAACCCGCTCTCCAGACAAAACAACATCATTGATCAACATTATCTTTCCCATTGTATTAGCGCTACTGAAAAGAGAACTCCGATAGCAACATAGAGATTTTTTTTCATTAGAAGTGGAACTTAACCAACCCAAAATTCATGGGAATATTGCCCCTCTTTCAAAAGTCACGTCTCCCGCTTTTAGAGACCCATCTCTATATTGGAGATCCATTTCCACAACCCCCAAAGGGATGACCCTCAAAGGATTTGTATTATGTATTCCTTCACTCTCTTATAAAGATATCACTTTTTTGCTTCACAAAAAAGTTAATTTTCTATTTCCCATGATACCCTAACCTTTAGAAGAAAATATCGGTACGGTGATTTAGCTATCACCAAATTCAACAATAACATTGTGAATTATATTCAATTGATTGTCAATTTATAATTATCATGTGAAAATAACTAGTATTGTTCAACTTGATTATCAATTATTTAATGCAAATACATATTGTAAAATTTTAGGGTTTTTTGACTAATTAATTTTAAAACAATTTGTTGATTAAAACTGTGAATTAATCTCAGGTGTTCACTAATTTAGATGATTTGTTCTTAGAATGAGTCAATGAATTATTGCGCGAATTCAATCAATGGCATAAACGTGACCAAGATAAAGAACAACATCGTCTTTTATATTAGTATTAGGCCATATTTTACGAATTATATGCTTTATTGTAGTCCATATATGATTATATACTTCATCCATTATAATTCTATGTTTCTCATTTTGTGTGATGTAAATGTAATAGTTAACAGTAGTTCATATAAGGAAAGAGCATCTCAATTTTCGCATATTGATGCAAAAAAAAAATGAAAGTTATTAATATAGTACCTCTATTTCGTATTGGATTCCTAAAAAACAATATTTATAATGATTTTTAATAATTTTTTTAATTTTTTTTAAATCCGACCGATTCGGTTGATTCCCGATCTGAAACACCGATTCGCCGATCGGAATGGGTTTTTGGGGTGCCCGATCCAGGACACCGATCCATTTTTTAAACCACTGTATTCCCCTATGGTCGGCTAAATCAATTCGTACCGGTTCTACGAACAAGATTTAAACATCAATTTTTTTTATACTATTTCTTTTATCAATTTTTTTTTTTTTTAAATGAGAACCGGCTGTCATGCCTCACGCGCATCTTGTGGTGCATGCTCTGAGTGCCAGCTTGTCCGTGACTCTTTTATACATGCTGGCCCCACGCGTGCGAGTCTACACGCTCGTGGTGGGACAAAATTCTGCATAACGTGTGAGAGTCTCACAACCCTTTTTTTTTTGGCATAGGGTTTTATTTAATTTAATTGACGATTTACTATGGGAAAATTATTTAAGAAAATGTTGAATGAACCATTGCCATTGCCAAGTGGCTCAGTCAATAATAAAAGCCCATTCAAACCAGTAAAGATAAAATGTATTCTATATGTCCATCTCTCTTTGTTTTTTTTTGAGCAAATTATGTAGGGATCATATTAGAGGGGGTCAATCGCTATTTGGTGTCCAATATACCCAATATTACGAGCACACCTCTTCTCTACGAATATTTTATTTTTTTCCGTAAGTTGTTCCCCTTTCTAAAAACACTGGACATGGGGTTATTCTTTCTTCGTTTTTGGTTGTCCAATGTTCGAAATACTGAACATCTATGTGTTATCTCCAAAACCAAAAAGCCCTATTTGAATATCGCAGACTCATCCTAACTTTTTTATTCTCTCTATCCCTTGAGCTCTCTCTCTAGGGTGCTCAATTTTGGATGTCAATAATATTTTCTCTATTTCAATCCTTTTATAACCTCTATTAGTTGTACAAATTAAAATGGAAATTGCTGAGATTAGCCCACTGACTCATATGAACATATGAGCCTAACAGACCAGATTGAAATTTGGCCAATCTGACGAGCAAGATCTTATTTTATGTTTGAATTTTAAATTTTTTTATACAAATCTCAATAACTTGAAATTATATAAGTCCATTCTTCTCATCAAGGCACACCTAACAAAAATATTTAAAAAATAATTCATAAAAAAATAAATTGATCAAAATACCCCCGAAACATTTCAAGGGTATTCTGGTTAATTTATTTCTTACAAATTATTTTTTTGATATTTTTATTAGATTCTTCTATTTTTTAACGATACACGCTTAAATTTTCAAGATTAAAATTCAAATACAAAATGATGTTGTGACCGTCAAATCGACCCAGCTTCAACCTGAACCATTGAGCTCATATGTTCATATGAGCTAGTGAGCTAATCTCAATATTTTCCTTGGCCACAAGCTACCCGCGTCCGTTTTTCAAACTCAACAAGTAAAAACACAAATGTCTTGGGGCACACGTGTATGGATGTTGAACTTACAAAGGACTTGCACGATAAATTTCCTTGCGTCTGATTATGAAGCTCATATTTTTGTTTACTCTCTTTCTTTTGGCTTATTTACATTAGATTGATAAAATTCATCATTTAGTACGAGCCTATGACCAAAACCTGCAATCTACTAAACCTGTTCTTGAATATACCTTCAATTTTTCTCCAAATGCTAATTCAAGACAATCCTAAGCCATCATATTAAGGAAGGGTCTGATTCTGATGAGTTGGCCAACTCATCTATTCATGTGCATCCTCCCTTGGATCCAAATATTTAAGGATCCATAATCTCTATCATGGGGATCACGAATATGAAAAACTAAATAAAAGTTGAAATTTTTGTGTAGTATTATAAAATGTTTTTTAGCATTAGTGGGTCACCTTTCTAGCAGTCCATCTGAAGGATGGACGGTTGAGGCTCATGGGACACATGCATCATCTGATGCATCAAATACTTTCTTCTAAAGGAAATCTGGCCTCTAAAACTTTCAAAATCAAGCTAAAGCAGACTGCCATATTGCACATGAACTTAACAAGAAAACAAATTTGCATAATGCCTCGCACTTGCATATGGGACGGCCAAAATTATACGGTATACAATCATGAATGCCTCGAACTTGCACATGGGGCAACCAAAATTATACGGTATACAATCATGAATGTCTCGTACTAAATATGCACAATTAGATTCTTAAAATAAGATCTTAAGGTGAAAAAAAAATGCATAAAACACTCAAATGCGAGAGAAAGAAAAGTTCTGTTCATGATTTTGTCGTGAGGGAATCACTAACAGATGGGAAAACCACTAGGCTGGCGCATTCGTTGTTTTCTAGAGATGACCACTACATAATAAGGATAAAAAGACCAGATAGCTAATACCAGCTTTTCCAAAAGGATGAGATTTTTGTAAGGCTAGTACTCTACAAAATCTGTTATGGCCCCACTTCAAGACCCCTAGATAAACCACATTCAGTGCCAAGACGTTTGTGATGGCCTACAAATCCGTCTCCACTCCTAACAATGAAATTTGAAGCTCCAAATATTGCACAAGTCTAATCGATCGTTGAAGAGGCAAAATGAACAGTCCAGAATAAGTGTTGCAAGGATCAACCTTTTCAATGTTTGAAATCCTTCTTTTTTCCCCTCAATTCATGATCGTCAAGGTGAAGATTGATGATTGATTGCGAGTTTCCCGGTGCCAGAACTGTTATTTTCTTGCAAGACTTGAGGTGCAGCTACATAAAGCCACAGGTTTATAAAATAGTTTTCCTTTTCAAAATGATCCATCCTTTCCCTCCTGAACTAAGGTAAATTGAGGTTACATCTCTAACCTAAATAGGGGAGGGACATTTTCCAAAATGGCACATCTTGCTGGCTTTCTTCTCTTAGCAAATTGCTGGCCTTGATTAGGAACAAAAGTCACAAATAAAATAAGACTTTCAATTGCGTCCAGCAAACATAAGCCATTTTAAAGCTGTCTTGAATTCAAGGAAATGATTCAAGGAAATGATGCTAAATGCATAAATCAATGAAGTTGAACAGAAAGAAACACAGCAAATGGAAAAACAGAGCAATTAGAGCCATTGCAGAATCCATAGAAACATTATCAACTAGGTTATGAGTCCAAGGTCTCAAGTGGGACTTAACCAAAAGTATAGGTATGGTAGGAAATATACATACTAAATGAATAACTTTAGTATCATTGGAGGAAACAATAACTTCATAGATACAAGAAATAAATCTAGATAAATCAATATACAGGCTGTCAATAACGAGAAGCACAGTACATGTGAGCACCAGCCATCTACCTGTAGCCCTCCACTGAAAATGATTATTCTTATCAGACGTGATCGAAATCATATATTGGTATTACAACTTCTTTGTCACACAAGTTTCAGCATGGATTCCTAACTCCCAATTGCTATTATATGCTACACTAGTATCTTAAATTACATTGTTTCCTTTTAAACACAACCATAAAGATAGATCACTGCCTTGAAGAGGTATGAAGATGTTATGACTTCTGAGTTTCCTCCGATTTGAGCTTGGGATACCTAGTGTGCCTCATCCAACAAAGATATATATAATAAAGGGCAAGCTTTATATTTTCTCAGCAGGTTTATCCTTGATTTCCCCACAAAACAAAAAGATGACACTGGGCTTATTATCAACTATTTTGAATATGAAAATGAAGACGTTAAGGGGTAGAGATCCTGAATTGAATGCTGCTCTGTGGCTGCTTCCCACTCCAAGGAACAAGCGAGGATGTCAGATAGACGAAGGATAATGCCATGCATATCTGGGCGCCGATACCGATCTTCATCAACACAAGCCTTTGCTAAAAGAGCCATCTGTTTTTTTTCCAACACGCAAAGATATTTCCGTTATTTGAAAATCACTTAAAATGGCATGGAACTTTGCAACTAAATGAACTTTGCAACTAAATTCGCAAATATGTTCTAAAAGTCAAAGTTGGTCCAAAGTTCATTCTATAGAAAGCAAATTTTTGTCTCCAACACTCAAGTTGCTAGTCAGCAAAAAATGGTAGGAACCTTTTCAATTTATTTATTTCTTTAATTATTTATTTTTTATAGATATAGTGACTTATGGCCTCACTGGGGGTATAGCCTTTAATAGAGCAGAATGGCGGATCAGAATTCGTGTAGCAATTAATTGGGAAAAGGCTATGGTGATGAATTATTTATTTTTTGTGGAATAAGTACTAGCAACATAGAAGAGAAACGGAAAGATAATAAATTGTTTGTGGAATAAGTACCATAAAAATCGAAGAAAAAAGGAAAGATAATAAATTGAGTATATTTATATACTCAATTGAGAAGAGTAGATTTAGGTGGGCTGGTCATGTATGGCGCCGACCAAGTACAGCACCTGTTAGCAGGTGCGAGTTACTTCAAGTGCAATGACTGAAAAGGGCAACGGATAAGCCCAAAAGGATGTGGTTGGAAGTATTCCGAAAAGATACAGGGACTTATGGCCTCACTGAGGATATAGCATTTAATAGAGCAGAATGGAGAACCAGGATTCATGTAGCTTACCCCAATTAAGTGGAAAAGCCTAAAATGATAATGATGATGATGACGATTTATATACCTTATCAAAGCATGACTTTAGTACATTTTCTTATTGGAAGCATGACTCTAGTACATCACAGGCATATAAATTGAGTGATTGCATGAGTGAAAACATAAAGTACTAAATTATATAGTAAATTATAAGTCAAGAGTATCAGTCAGGCCCCCATTTTTAAGTTGCTAAACCCTCCCACTAAATTTAAATCAAATAATTCTGTTCGAATCGGCGAAACTTTTTAAGCACGGATTGGCGAGCCAACCAAGGTTGTCATATGATTAGCTAAACAGAATTTGATTTTCTTTCATAAGTTTTCTATCCAGGCTATCCATGTAAGCTACACTATGTTTAGAAATCCATAAAAAATTGTAAAACATAGAGTGCTGCACAAGGACTGATGCCCATTGGAATCATCTAGATCATCCATTTTTAGAAGGTACCAAGGTCAAATTTTTTATTTTGATCTGATGCCCATTGGAATCATCTAGATCATCCATTTTTAGAAGGTACCAAGGTCAAATTTTTTATTTTGATCTTGTGGGTAGTAGCATGTATAGTGAAATTCTTGAAATACAAAAAAAGTAAAAATAAAAGCTTAGGAAAGTATACAACCCACTTCGCATCATCACCATCCTACAAAATGAAGGAAGGTGAGAGTGTCGGATCCATCAAAACACGATCCCAATGGGAGGCCCCATTCTCTCTCCATCGCTTTCAATTTCATTGAACAAGATGGTCCAATGAAAAAAAAAAAGTTTGTATATTACGATGAATGTTAAGTACCTGGATGAGGGAATCCTGCTGATAGTAGGTAAGGTTCGGGTCCACAAACTGAGCCAGAAGTGCTCCAGGGTCATCACTGGCATCTAAGGTTGATAGCATCTGAATAAATCAGATATATATCGTAAACGTTCGATGAACTTATCAAACCACTCATTACTAGATCAAAATCAGTAATCTACAGCTAACCTATGATCTGTAACATTTCTTTTCGACAGTATAAATTATCTATTTGGGGTCATCAGTAATGAATTGAGATATTTTGTCTTCTGATTGTAGAAATCGTGATCTGTCATTGAATTAATCAATGAACAGTAAATGGGGAACAATAAACAGACAAGGTACAATAGCCAAAGAACATTTCATACTCACAAAGGAGACAAGGGACCGGTGTTCAATATTTTCAGCATTACCATCACTAGAGCTTCTAGAGAGTGCTGGTTTGCCAGTAATCAGTTCCATAAGTACAACACCATATGCATAGACATCATTTTTTGGTGTCACACATCCATCTCGAACATATCTGTGCATTAATAAAATGAATATTTCTTGACATAATAAAAAAGGCACGCCATCATCACTTAAAGGAAAAAACTGGCACATTTGAATCATACATGAATCATCAAGGAAAATGATAGGACATCATTTTTATTGGACATCCAAGAAGCAGCACACAATAATAAATATGACGTATTCTTTCTTATGAGGATTTTCATCTTACTCAGGTGGAAGGTATCCAAATGTCCCAACTATTTTTGATGTTGCAGTGCCAATTTCTGGAGAATGCTCCAGCAATTTTACCAGTCCAAAATCTGAAATCTACAATCACAACTTTGCACATCAGAGAGAATCTCCATCAACTGTAAAAGTCACAGAAGCATATATAATGAAGAAAGTCAATATGTTTGTTATATAAAAAACTATATATTTAGTGAAATTTAGTCTTAATAGAAACATATAGGCTGCATTTCATGAGTGGAGACACAAGCCATTCTGGAATAGTCAACTGACATGATCATCACAAAATACTGTTGTACTTCTAATATGTCAAATGAGGAAAATCCCTCACAGATAATAGAAAAACCAATGTGGATGGAGATGTTCATGACAACTTTCTTTGAGTAGAAGAAAAATTTCCAAGCGAGCATTTTTGTCATCAAAGTAGATAGCCCAAGCTTTATCACTGCTACTCTAGTTTTATTGTCATAGAATCTAGATGTGGCGTCATGCACTTTCAGCAGAACCAAATATGTCCAATTATTCAATGCTATTCACATATGTATACTAGAAAATATGAACTGACTATCAATCCAAGCGAAACTTTCTTAAATGATAGTCACTTCATAGAAAGTTCCATCAAGTACCGCTCAGAAATTTACCTTTGCTCTAAAACAAGAATCCAGAAGAATATTGCTTGTCTTCACATCCCTGTGAACAAAATAAGGTTTTGTGTTCTCATGAATGTAGTCAAGGCCTTTTGCTGCATCAAGAGCAATTTGGACTCTCATGGTCCACGAAAGAGGTTTAAAACCTGCCATATAAGGTCATATCCGATAAAAGAAATGTAACAATATAGATCAATGCAGCGAGAATAACAAACTTTAATAGAACCAGAAAAGTGAAGAACACCCAAAAAGATTACAAATGCACCAAATGCAAAACTTTTAGGAACCTGGAATGCAATATCTATTCAATTTATGTAATAATCTCACCTTTTCTATGTATTCCATGCAAGTGATCACTGAGTGTACCATTTTGAGCAAATTCATAAACAAGAAATAAAGACTCTCCCCCAGCAGCATATCCTGTAAGTTCAATCTATACAAATTCAAAACATTCAAACGTTAATGAAATATGAGTAAACTAATTATTTTAATGTGAAATAACAGGGAAAAAAATGGAGACGAACAAACTCTCAACATGGTTCAGATATAAGTTTCAAAGGAAACAAACCAGTGGTGTGTGTGCCCGCGCCCTCATGTACATATTAATTCATGCCATGCTACATACCCAAGCACACACTTGTCGAAATATGTTTAAACATACAATCCTGTCCACTTTGAAGCAAGAGCTGCTAGGAAAGGTCTCATGTCATTTTATCACAAGAAAAGAAAAACCAGAATGGAGGATTTAAGTTGCCAACTTTTCTCCAAAAATGAACTCTACAAACTACAAACAGCTGTCACTGCCTAACGGCCATCTAAATTTGCTGAGGAAATCCCTCATCTTGCTTTCCAGGAATAGAAAAAGTAATAACAGAACAATTGTAACTTAAGTATCCCTCACCATGCAACTTGGCATAGAGCTTGCTCTCCCCAGTTCCACGTCAAGGGGAGGACTAGGCACATACACACATGTAATATGCGCATGCACACACACACACACACACAGAGCTACAGTGATATCTCTCAGGACCTATATCCTTGTTTATTGGTTTTATAGAGCTAATATCTTTGGAGAAAATTGGAAAACTAAAGCCTTTAGAAAATTAAAATAAGGACACCTTTGTTTAGCTATATTAAGATGGTGTATGAAGATGCTATTTTATTTTAAAATTAGAATGAAGGCATACAGTTTCCCAAGTGTTTGAAGAATAACAATCTCAGCAACCTTCTCCTTTAATTAAACTCTATCACGGCGAGCTTAGAAATTTTTAGGCATATTTGTTGTTTCCTTCTATGTTAAATACATATATTCTCTCAAAATTATATGGTACAATATAAATTTTCCTTTGGAAACCTATTTTACATTGCTTTTTTTTTGCAAATTTTGCATTGGCTATGAAATTTGAGAGGTTACCAGTTTTGTTTATGGGAACCAAAGAGGTGGAATGGAATTGCATCATATTTGAGAGCAATGGTTTAAAAAACAGATCGGTACCCCGGATCCAGCACTTCAAAAACCCATCTAGATCTGTGAATCGACGATCCGGATCGGGAATCGACCGACTCGGTCGGATTAAGCTTTGAAAAACTCCAAAAAAATTATTAAAATTATTTATAAATATTATCTTTTAGGAATCCAATAAGAAATGAGGGTACTGCATTGTTAACTTTCATATTTTTCATTAATTTGTGAATATTGAGATGTTCTTTTCCTGTATAAACTTATGTTAACCATTAAATTTACATCACAGATAAGGAAAATCATATAATTATCATGGATAAAATATATAATCATACATGGACTACAATAAAGAGTAGACTTAATCGATGAAAAACGGCCACCAAAATCTTGAAATGGCGGAAAGCCCTAATCCTTTAAAAAAACCGAAATTATTACAAACTAACTATAAACCAAAATTATTACAACCTAACTAACTATAATGTTATATACTGAAATTAAAATTGTTTGTTTACATTTTATAATTATTTTGTTATTCAAATAATAACAAATCCAAAATATTTTGTAATATCATGTAATTTAAAATATATTATTGAGAGCTGTAAAAAAGATAATAAATTGCATGATTTATAATGCAAAAATTAATAAATAAAATAAAAAATTTGGTTATCAATATAGAAATTATTAGAATGCATATATCAATTTTTGAAAGAACACTTTAATTTTTCAAAATTTTAATTTTTTAGATTTCTAAAATAAATTTATTAAAAGAGATTGTTAATAGAAAGAGAGAGATTTCAAATGGAATAAATTTATTTTAAAAAAATTATTTTCTGGTTATTTTTGTTGACAACAAATAAAATAAAATAAGTCAAGCATCCATGGGAATCGAACCTGTGAAGTCAAGGCTCCCCCGTAGAAGTGATAGCCGCTAAGCCACATCAGCTCAAGTGTATCTACTATCCACATTAATGAAACTTATCCAACTTTCATCTTTATTTAATGCACCGTGGGAATTATCCCACATCTAACAGCGAGAGTTAGATTGATTGATATAAATAGTTGCGTAAGTATTCAAACACCTGCATACGTATGCTTGGGGATGTCATTCACATAAGACCGGTGGGGTACACGTGGTTTTGCCATGTGTGAACTAAGATAACCGACGCTATTGGTGTTTTAGCCACGTGTTGACTCGCTCTGTGATGTCATACGGGCGATTTTCACCGCTGTATGACGTCATTTCAAGCGGTTCACTGCTGGTTCTGTTCTAGAACCGGGCGGTTCCTGGTTTTACACAAGAACCAGCACGGGGTAACCGATTCCCGTGTCGATTCGTGCGAGTCCATTGCGACTCGCCGATTTTTAAATCACTATTTGGGAGGATATTTGTTTTTAAAGGAGGTATTTCTGTATACACACACACATGTAACAAGCATAGAGCACATCAAAGAAAAAGCTCAAAAACCATCAAAGAGAAACTTTTTACACGTAGAAAAAGAAGCATAGATATATTACCAAGTTTGAATGATTAACTTTACAGAGGATATTAAGCTCCGCTAAGAACTCCCTGGACTTTGTGTTCTTCATTTGCTTGATTGCTACCTCCTATTGTGTCAGAAGAAAGAAATCAATGCATAAATAAATCAAGAAATATGTTTAATATAAGGCATCAACATTGTACTGTGAAGAAGACATGCCTCAAAAATCCATTGAAAAAAGTTATTTTGATGCCCAAAAACCCTCCCATTGATCATGTCGATCTCGAGATGTATGGATATGGAAAAAAAAAGAATTTCCAGTCCTAAAAATGGGTCGTCTTGTAATGCATTATCTGGACTATTCATTTTCAATATTTTTAAGTGTTTGCTTTGAATTATAAATTTCATAATTAGATGTGAAATAGATCTTTAGGTCATTGCTGAAATTTTGACGCTAAAGTTACATCTTTTGATAAAATTTGGAGGTGCATCTCACTTGGACTGTTTAAGGTTGACACCTCATGCAAACTACACCCACAAGTAAGAGGACAGAAAAAAGCAGCAACATTGGGAGACAATTCACGCACTCTTCCTCTTAGTCTTCCATGGTAAACAGCACCACAAGATCCTTGCCCTAGTTTCTTTGATGCGTTGAAATTTGCAGTTGCTTCACAAATTTCATAATGTGTAAATACCACAACCTTCTCAGAACTTGATGATTTAACAGCCAGCACTTCAGAATCTGTAGAGAGAGACATAATGAATTCATTCCAAACGAGCAAAGAAACACAATAACTTGATTTTCTCTTTTTAGTATTAAAAAAGAAAAAGCATGAATACTACAAACCTCTGAATGAAGTATGATGATGAGTTGAAGTTTTAAGTGCTGTAGAATGGTAGAAACGAGGCAAGCAACAAGATAACCATTTAATGCCATAAATTGAAGCAACTGATTTCCCCTTGCCCCTCAATATGAACCATAAAAAGATAATTGCTGCTATTGCAGTGAGAACAATCACAGCAGCAACTATCCAAGTTACCAGTCTGCGCAGATGTTGAAAGTTAGACCCTTTCCTATCAATTGGGTCTGATGGAAGAAGGAAAATCACAGATTTAGAAAAAAGTACAGTGAGATCAAAGATAAAGCATATCCCATATTCTATCAGTTCGTGGAATTCATGAACGTCACCAACCAAACCACAAATGAGTGATTGGAAAAGCAAAGAATGAGAAATCTCTCATACGAGCATATATCTATCCAAAAATGTGAAACACAACTGAGTGGAAACATGATAGTTTGACCTACAACTACATTTTAACAGTGGTGTGTACATGGTATAATGGCGGAAGATGAAAGCTCCAAGCTGTCGAGCTACAACTTTCAAAGACAAAATAAATCATATGGAGAGGGGATTCAGGTAAAACTATCAATTGTCCATCACATTGCACTGCAAGAAATGAATCCTCGTAGTTCAGAACAATTTCAGGATATACAAAACAAACAAGACTATTGCTCACCAATGTTTACTAAGAATACTCACCAGAACAACCAGAGATGAACATAGTAAAGCAGATAAACTCATGAAATTTCAACCTAATGAGTAAAATCAATAGTGTCTTTAGGGCAGGCTACTGAACATGACTAAAAGCATCAGTTTTAGGTCCTCTTTGGATGACAATTAATTTTACCTGGAATAGAATGTCATATATGAAATTAACATACTCTAGATAATATTATTTTATTAGTTATTTGGTATGTATCTTTTATTATTATAATATTGATTGATGATTTAAAATGTTTAGCAATTTTCAACTATTTCTAGCTAAAAACATGTGATTTTCAGCAAATTACTTTAAATAAAGTGAAAACAGCTTTTCAAAAAGACCAACTTATATGTTAAACTACTTGTAAGGTATGTCTTAGATAACTCTACAATAGAAACTGCCAAACAGATAATTCAGTATCAAGATTAGTTTTACTGAAACAGTGATTATCAGTGATAATGAGTACATCCAAACACAACCTAAATATGCTAGTTATGGAGAACTTTGCAAGACATTTAGTCAGTCCATTTCTGGACCCTTTTTATTTGAAAAACAAAGCAAAACACTGCAAAATGCGACTAAGATCAAAAAGTGAAAAATATTTTCCCCTTGGTTCATGAATCAAAGGAAACAGGAAAGAACCTTCTCAGTCCATCTATATTCGCCCTCAGTTATTGAGAATTCTTAACTAGAAAACATGTAGAAATATAAGGAACCTATATAATTAGAAAATTTTGGAGACATCGTAGATCACTATTGAAATTAAGACATGGATGAAAGAAAATGCAGACAATACAGAAGAAAAAGAAAATATAAAAGGTGATATAAAAAAAAGCACATAATTAGAAAATGGTGAAGATATTATAGATTGTTCTTAAAATTAACATGAGCGCATATATAATATGGCAGGAACATAAAATCCATCCACTCCCTTGGGAAAATGACTTTACTTAGGAGGCTTTCTTGATCTAAGAGTATTTAAAGAAAAACAGAAAAAAAAAAAAAAAAAATAATTGATTTTGGATGCCGAATAGATCTGACAGTGTGCAAATTGGAAAATAAGAGAGCAATACGAGTGCAGAATTGTCTTTCAGGCCGATCAGTACTAAATTTTTATTAGGTTGAGTAGAGCACAACCTCAAAGTTTGGGATGCTAAAAGGGCTCCTAGCTACGGATTTTCTGAGGGAGAAAATGTATATTTTCCTCCCATGGGAGCACATACGCTTTTCAATTAAGATGGACATGAAAGAAGAAAAGGTTATCATGACTGTTATACAATAAAGGTCCATTTCACTCCAGACAGGCTACCAGGAGCTCGAAATAGCCAAATATCAGTAGACTTGAACAAATAAACAAGAGACAAAACACCCTTATATGAAGAGCAGAAGGGGGCATAAAACAAGTTCTTTGATGTAAGATTAAGCGCAACATCCAACTTAAATTGCTTATATATGGGACACAATGAATATAAAACAGAACATGAAGACAAAACACAAGGGATGAAATGTCCAGTTCATCTTCACAACAAATGCCTTACCATATATAGTTTCTAGAATGGTTATATACATATTACAAATCCTCAAATGAAGATGATAAAAAAGAAATGGTTGATGTATACCTCCACTATCAATCGAAACAAGGTGTTGAAGGTCTTCGATGACCATGTTTACATGTAATAATAACAAAACAAAAGTCAGCATATGAATACATCATGACCCAATACCTAATAAAGTCTATTAAAGTAAGAAAATAAAGCAATAGAAATGAAGAACTATAGACAAATAATGAACAATTTGAGCTCCAGTAATGAGAGTGGAAGACAATTATTATCATAAATATGTGCAAGGACATATAAAGCTCAAAAGATCCACAATAATTCCTTAGCTGTAAAATATCTAGTTTAAAATTGATTGCAGTAACACCCACAAATTTATTTCCCTTTGTTTTATCATGAATTACAAATATGTAAGATGGTCCTATTTCATTGATATATACCCCAAGAGTTTGCAGAGTACAAAAAGAACCATAGGGCACGGCACTTGTTAAGGTCACTTCAAGATAAATGACTTTTGGCCTTGACTCCATAAGTGCTGGTTGTGACCTGCGATCTGTTATTATGTGTAACTGATCCACTTCTATCAAAGCCCTGTGTCATGCATAGAAAAGGAAGAGGAACATGAAAAGATTCAAATCTCAACATATTAATATTTGTCGTTTTAACCAATCAAGGGATGAGAACGAACACAACCAATGGCATGAGTGAAATCAGATTTTCACTGATTCTGAGTTACCAACCCGTCCCAAAAGTTTTGTCTTCATCCAAGTCAGATGGGCTCATTGGAGCAGTTCTCTAGCAAGGAAACATGGCTACGATCTCAAGAATATTTACTTCCTCAACATATAAATCAGTTCATTTCAGAAGCTGAAAGTAATACAGTGGAGTGATGAAAATATGGATTTCACATAACTTGCTAGCTAATGGTGTCTCCATCCACAAGTAATCAAGTAGTCATAGGGATCCACCAATTATCTGATGGAACAAAATGTATAGAACTGCTTATAAATGTGGAAGACGCAGTAGAAAATAAATAGTTTTATACCCAAGGCAGAGATTTCTTTGTCACTTTTACTAGTCAGGGATTACAAACAGTTACATCCAAGGGCAAGAATGAACTCTGAATGTAGTCCAGGCAAAGCTCCTAATGCCAATTCACTCATAATTATGTTGCAAGAGTGGAGGCAAGTTTTTCCTCAGTGAAATAAAAAAGGAGGTTAAACGAATGGAAGATGAGCGTTTCATGTTCCCATCTTCCTCCACCATGGTGAAATATGTATTTCCATAACTCAAAGAGGTTTCCCTATGGATCAAAACAATACCATATCCACATTGGGTGGTGTGAGGTCAGATGTTTCCATCCCAATAATGCCAAAAGAATTGTGGTTGTACTGACCATGAAATATTTGTTGCACAGATCAAATATTAGAAGATTTGACTAACCAAAATAATTTCCAAGAGTGATAGAAAAAATGGAGAAGACCAAGGGAATTACTATGTTATATAGAACCAATGGGGAAAATTATCTGATTCTTTAAGAGGCTATGAATAAGCCAAACTAGCAATAAAGGAAAACATAGAAGACAATCAAGTCCTCTTACTTGACTTATCGGCTAAGAGAGTGTCTAACGCGCTCTCCAGGGAGCATAGTGTACACTTACTCCCTCAGACAAAAGAGATGCTTCGGATAATTTTCTGATTTGAAATTTTGGGATCCACAAAATATTCACCTGATGAATATGGAAAGAAAAAAAAAAAAAACAAGGAAGAAGAAGAAGTGAATTCTGAGTTCTTCGCCACTTAAATATCACTTTTAAAAACTTAGACAGATTCTATTCAATCTTGGGATGTTTTTTCAAGAACATACAGGGTGAATTTTCAAGATTTCAATCTTCTTTTTTCCATTTTTTCTGTTTGAGTTTATTCTAATTTGAAAAAGTTAAATCTCCAAAATTTGAGGTCCAAAAAATACTACTAGATTGGGAGTTATCCGAGGGAGTAATGTCAGTATGCTCCCGCAGGAGTATAGAATCTTTTGATGTTAGTTAATATTAATAATTTCTCAAGGTGGATCTTGTAGTCCATATCTCCCCAAACTTAGAAGGATGATTCTTAACCCTATTTCGTTTTCAACCCAAACTAGTCTGAAAATAGGGAGTTCATGAACATAACAACAAATACCATTAGAAAGCTTGAATCTAGCCCATCAGTCCAACACTTTATCAATCTGCAATATCCGAAGTATGTGCAGCAAGCCGTGCTTTGGCATCCTTGTGGCAACATGATAATGTTTTTCGGTTTTAGTTGTATTTCATACAATTTTTTTATTGAATTATAAAAATTTCAGATTAAAAAGTTATTCCTTCTTGATATAAAATGTTGATTCAGTTATTGTTAAATTTAATTGAAATTGCATTGAGGTCTTGATTTCTCATCACTTCCGAATGTTGCATCTCATTGCAGATATACTTCTTGGGAGGAATTACAACCCCACTGATCACCAATGAAATCAGCATGCATTCGAAGTTAAATTCCCCCATACAAAACAAGAGAAACCCACTAGAATATATTTGACTAAATTATCTAGTTTCATGCACTACAATTTAAACCTCTAAAATATCTTGTTTCATTCACTACAATTTAATCCTATTAAAAAGGTGAGGTATAATATTTTAAAAGCTCATTTGTTTGCTTGACCATTTATTTTTCAACTCAAAAGTTTCGAGTCCTGATATTGTAACTACATTCAGATCCTCTGATTGAATAGGCAACAAAACCAGAAGCCAGCATTGACCACAAAACTCATTATGAATAGGCAACAAAACCAAAAGCCAGTATTGACCACGAAACTCATTATCTCAGCAATGTATCGTTATTAACAAAATGACCAAGTCAAGAAGGACGGTGGGGTGCTAGTAGGGAGAGGAATTTGATCAGTAGGACTGAATAAACTAAACAAGAAGGACGAGGAAAGAAGGAACATAAGGGTGCAACGAGTGCTTGAGGACAATGATGGTGATGACCATTAAAAGATTGTAATAATTGACTTAAGATTCATTTGGCAGACTAGTTTTTATTTGGGTTTGTATACCATGCCATATTTATCATACTCTCAGTTTGGTACATGTAGCACTGAGACGAATGACTGATTTTCATTGTTCCTGTACTTAACTTATGAATGGTTAACTACAGCCATCTGTTGTTAAAATTTGGAAAGTTATGGTGCATGTACCAAGATGAGCAGTAAGGTACCTGAAACAAGATATAATTCCCATTTCATTTTCATAACCTTTTGTCTATATGATTTGTATATGGATGAAGCATGGATGCTGACTGCGTGGAAGGACTTTCTTTCTTGTGTTTTAAAGCTATCATGGTTTATGAACGTGAGAAAAGAATTCTAGATGAAGCATTTTTTCTATCTTTATACAAAAAAAAGTAATAATATCCTCTACTCACTAGGTTGACGAATGCCACGAACTAATAATAGAATTGAGGAAAGATAAAAAAACCATGTGTCCTTTGAAAAGGAATTATCCTTTTTTCCTTAGTGAAAGTACTCTAAACTCTAAAGTGCCAAGGGATCAAGTCAAGGATTGATTATATTGCCAAAAGATGAAAGCACTAGTTACATTTTAAATTGTTATATTTGCATTACATAGCATTACATAAGAGAAAGAATTAAAAAACTTAAGAAATAAACCAAGAAGAATTCGAGAATATGGCAGAAGAATGGAAAACATCATTTCCTATTAAACAAGTCAATATTGTTTAGTCAATACTAAGATTTTCTTTTTGAATTTATTGGACAATATTCAGAATTAAACCCATAATAGATGATCTTAAATAAGAGAGAAAGAGAGGGGGAGAGAAAGAGAGATCTTTCTCAAACCAGTTTTTCTCACAGTCTCACCTTTCGCAGGGACGAATATGACCTCACCAGTGTGTATTTTCGATGGATCATCAATTTGATTTAATGCTGAAGTCTGGTTCAAATCAGCATTGAATCGCATCCCAATAATATAAAGAGTATCCCCCATCACCACTCTATAAGTCACAACTTGCACTCTCTGAACGCAACCACAAACGAGACCAACCCTGATAATTTGACCAGGAAAAATTTTCTTTTTGGGCAAATCCACTGCAAAATTCTGAAATTTCATTGAAATGTTATCGGTTGTGTCCCCTTGCTTCACCTTGTAATTTATGTGAGCCAGAAACTGACCTAAACTAGGATCACAACTACAATTTACTGTGACCAAGAAATTGTCAATTGCTTCAGTGATCATATCAGAGGTTGTTCCAAACAAATCAGCAACTTGCTGAAAATTTTGAGATGGCTCAGGGACAAAATAGAGACAAGCAGAGCAAGAAGTTATCATGGAGATATTGCAGGACAAAAGGTTTGTTCCCAAGAGGGAAGACGCAAATGGAAAACAGATGATGATGAAGAAGAGTAGAGCAGCATTGCTTGCTTCCATGGAGGAGAATTCTAGGGTTTTTGATTGATCAGAGTAAGAGAAATGCAGCGATTGCTTTCATGGAGAATAACTCCTGGGTATTGGTTTATCTTATATACAGTGATTTCTTCAGAATGGGTGAATGGCCATTTTATTGCTTTCATGGTAGGGAATTACATGGATTTTTTATCAGAGTGAGAAAAAGGAAGTGATTGATTTCATGGCATGTGCTTTTTAGAGAAATGCAGTGACTGCACTGATGGAGGGAAATTACAGGGTTGTAGTTGATCAAATTGAGAGAAATGTGTTGATTGCATCCGTGGAAGGGAATATTAGGGGTTCTGTCGATTGGAGCGAGAGAAACGCAGGAACGGCTTCCATAGAGGAGAATTCTAGGGTTTTCTGGAAATAGAGAGGGAAAGTGGGAGCAGAGAGTGGAGGGTGGATGAAGAGAGACAATGGAAGTGGCCATGGAAGAACCTTTGTTACTTAAACGAGAGGAGAGAGAGACATATGGGCATTGCTCCATGGAGAGTTGAAGAACGACAGAGACAAACGACACAGGAAAGAGTCCAAGAATAAAGAGCAAACACTCGCTATGAATTTGAATACAAAGGCCACAGCCAAACGGCTACTCGTTTTAACATGAGCGAAACGACGAAAACGATTTATCTAACCTTGGTACGGCGCAAGCCGCGAGGTTTAAAAAATTGATGACCCGGATCTGCCACCCCGAATATGGCGTGGGATCGGCGGGCTGCCGGTTTAAATAAAAGAATCGGTCAAATCACTTTAACCAATGGTTTAAAAACCGGATCGGTGATCCGGATGGGGCTTTCAAAAAACAGATTCGGATTGACGAATCGGCGATCTAGATCGGGAATCAGGTGAATTGGTCAGAAAAAAGCTTCAAAAAAATCCGAAAAAATTATTAAAATTCATTATAAATATTTTTTTTTAGGAATTCAATAAGAAATGAGAGTACTCCATTAAGAATTTTCATGTTTTTGAATGAATATGCGAATATTGATATGTTTTTTCCCTGCATGAACCGCCATTCAACATTTAATTTACATCACACAAAAGGATAAACATAGAATTATCATGGAATAAGTATATCAACATACATGGACTACAATAAAGCATAAAATTAGTAACATACGATCTAAAAATAAAATGATAGACGACGTTGTTGTTCTTCTTGGTCACGCTGGTGCCATTGATTGAATTCGTTTGACAATTCATTGATTCGATCTAAAAACGAATCATCGATATTAGCGGGCGTCCGACTATTCCCAAATCCCTGAGTGTTAGTGTTTTGTTGTGTTCCCAATCCAAAATCCCCGAAGCTTGTCCATCCTTCATGCTCACCTGCACTGTCGTGCTCATCCCTACACTGTTGCTGTTGGGACTCGATATGTGAATAATATGGTTGGGATAGGGTGGCCTCAGAATCATCATCTCTCTCATTTTCTCTTAGACCCCCTTCTCACTCTCTCTCATTAGGTGCAATATCACCGACATATTGTGGATACATTGGCTGGCTGCTTCCTCTTTCATGCTGCTCATCACTTTCTTCAATATCTTCATCACCGATAGCCTCAAGGAACGCTCTCTTGTGCAACACTGGCTCCTCCTCTTCTACTACCCATTGGTCTGCTGTGTCTGTGACAAATATTGTGTCTAAGTCTATCGACCCATAGTCTTCAAGCTTCCTTCTTATTTGTCGCTCTCTGAGGTTTAAATTATAATGAACGTAGACTAGTTTATGAAGCTTCTCAGAAGCGAGTCGATTCCTCCTAGTAGTGTGCAACCATTGGAACGTACTCCAGTTGCGCTCACAGCCAGTAGCAGAACATGTCTGGGAGAGCACCTTGATTGCTATCCTCTTTAGGTGAGGTGCATCAGTACCATATATCTCCCACCATTCAACTGGATTAAAATGTAAAAAGCATTGTAAGGGCAAGAACAATTCATAAGATTAAATATATGAATAAACAAAATATTAGCGAGGGGATAACCTGGATCCATCATAGTTCGAGAATTTCTGGCAAGTCTAGTTCCGAAAGATCTATAGCATCCCTATACATAGCAAGCTAAAATAAATATATTACGTTTTAGTGCATTATTCCTCACAAATATAACAACTCAATGAAGTTCTTACTCAAACATTAAATAATACATCTTGTATTGCTGCTACTTGGTTTCGATGGCTTCTCTCCAACCTTGTAATAATGTATCTGACCCCTTCCATAATCGTGTGGGGTTATTTAGGTGTCAAATAGAAAAATTTGGGGTTGAAGTAGTAACCTAAAAAATATATAGGTAGAAAAATGTCATTTACAATTTCATAAAAAAATAATTTAAACTGAAACATTGTAATGATATAAATATATATTTACCAGCATAATGAATTGGACGTCCAAATTTGATGTTCCACCTCTTTTCTATAATCTCGATCACTTTGCTAGCAAAAATACACTTCTCCCCAATAGCTGATTTCGCCCTCTCAATACCTTCATAAAGGATACCTATGGTAGCTTTCTTATCAGCATCCACCATTCTTAACACCGTGACCAAAGGGGCAGTGGCCTCTACAACACTGGAACATCGAGACCAGAACAGCCTATTT